CTGTTTAAATCTACCCACAAAATTTAATAAAATTTGAATTTGTGGTTCCTTAAAAATTCACAAAAAATGTTATTATTGGAAATAATCAATTTTCGTAAAATTCTTCTTACAAAACGCTAACCACCCACCATGTCCATCCCACCAAAGGTTCCCACCAGTGGTTAGTGGTGGTCATTAAAATTGTTAAGTGTCCCTACGTTTGTTCACTATAATCCCAACTAATATTATAAATGCGAAAGTAACTCTGTCTGTCTGTCTGTCTGTCTGTCTGTCTGTCTGTCTGTCTGTTACGCTTTCCCGCTTAAACCTCGCAACCGATTTTGATGAAATTTGGCTTTATGTAATTGAATCATTCACTGTGTTTAAACGATCAAATAGTATTCAAACATTTAGATAATAACGTTAAAAACCATTTAAAAATCCTATGAGAACTTATCAAATCAAATCAAATCAAATCAAATCATTTATTTTGCGAAAATGGGTTTACATCAGTAGGTGTTACAATTTTTCAAGTAGGTATCTCCATCTTCCACCTTTAGGCATGCAAAATTATTACTGTAATTGTCATTTACATTCATTAACAAAATATAGGGTAATTGCACCGGTTTTCCGTCCAGCTCCTGTTTTCGTCCATTTGACCGACTTGCCAAAAACAAATACGGAAAATTAGAATACAAACATAACTTTCCGTGCAAGTTTGGACTTGTTACAATCTATAATATCTAAGTAACAGTTCTGCCTGCATGAAAATGTAATTTGACAAGTAATAACTCCAAAAAAAACTACGCAAAGCTTCCATACTAAATGTATGCCAACCACACGATATTAGAAGTGTAATTTATTTTTTGTTAAATAATAAACTTAAAAAGTCGATTAAATAAACTCGTAACTTGCATCTTATTAAAAATTATTTGTGGAAAACATAAGTTTTAGGCTTTACTTGCTATCATATTATCAAGAGATGAGTGCCATGACTGTGATAGTACTAAATGTATGGAAGATGGAAACATTGAATTTTTGGATAGATCCAATTTATTCTGTAAGCTATTGTTGATACCGTTGGACAGAACTCGTGGAGCACTTTTAGGATCAGTAACTAGTTTTGCGATATCTTGTGTAGTTTTTAATATTATGTAACTTTACCAAATAAGGTATGGAAGCTGGAAACATTGAATTTTCGGATAGTTCCCATTTATTCTGTAACCTATTTATTGGTACTGTTTAAAAGAGCACTTTTAGGATCAGTAACCAGTTTTTCGATATCTTGTATAGTTTAGAAATAATCGAGTGAGATCACTTATCGTTTCCACACTGTATGTTATTCTGGGTTGTAAACAATAATACTGCAAAGTTTCATCAAAATCCGTTCAGTAGTGTTTGCGTGAAAGAGTAACAAACGTCTATCCATACAAACTTTCGCGTTTATAATATTAGTAGGATTGTAATTTTAAATAACGAATAAATAAATAAGTGTAGTAGGTACCAAGAGAATAGTTTCTGTAGTCCCTTAGTTACTGTTTAATACTATAATAATTTAATTATACCTACAATATGGCATTCATTCAGTGGCCTCGTTATTCCTACCTAATGTGCAATGCAACGCAGGACACTTTATCCACACTTACCCCCTTACTAATAAAAAGTTACACAGTTGTTGAACACTGTTTTAAAATGACATTTCCATACTAAACGTCACTTTAAAACACTGTTCAACGAGCGTCTAAGTTTTATTAGTAAGGTGGTATATCTGTTACTGTGGTGAATTTCGTATACATAATTTATGATCTTGTAGGTAAGATTACGATAACAGCTAGCAATATTTCAGTTTAGCATAGCCTCTCTACAATTACGGACGACAACATATCGAGGTAGATACTGTAGCATTTTATGTGATTTCGCAAAAAAAAAGTAGTATAGGACCTCGTTCGTTTCAGCCAAATGACGTCCACTGCTGGACAAAGGCCTTCCACAATGTTTTCCACAATGCACGGTCCTGCGATGCCCGCATCCAGGCTCTTCCCGCGACCTTTACCAGATCGTCGGTCCACCTAGTAGGAGGCCTGCCCACGCTACGTCTTCCAGCCTGTGGTCGCCACTCGAGAACTTTTCTGCCCCAACGGCCATCGTCTCTACGAGCTATGTGCCCCGCCCACTGCCACTTGATTTCAGCAATTCTGCGAGCTATGTAGTCTAGGACCTACTGCACCTTATTTCTATTGTATACATACGCTATCAGTCTTGCAGTTTTGCTAGTAATATTAATTACATCGGCCACTAATCTCGCCCAGTCAGCTATTTCAATAATAATTAGGTTTGGTGTAACTCATGTCTAATTTTAAACAGATTTATGTAGGTAGGAGTTGGTGTACTTCCGTAGGAATTTGAATTCTACGTTTGGCTTGGTTTGTTGTAACCCATTCTTCTCTTTTGGAATTCGTAAACAGGACACACATACTTTTCCATGATTTATCATTGAATTTGGGACAACATGCTTTTTTTGTAAAAGTGAGTTGATAAGGGTCTACAAACTAAAAATATTTGAATTTTTTAAATGTTTTTACTGTCATGAGCTAAGTTATTTAGGCAGTAGAATCTTAGGAAGTTCGAGGTCAAATCTTAACCGACAGACATTTATTTTCCGGTTGTACTTGATAGATAAGGTATGTGATAATAAGCATGTATCCTAAACTATTTTTTTACAGAAATCTCTACTTTCGTAATATTTATTGTTTTCAAACCAATAAAACTAAATTAGGCATTCCTACATAAGATTCGGGCTATAAATATCCTACCTAATGGATTCCTATCTAAGTAATTAGTGTGCCCTTCGGTGTCTTTGTTTACTGAGCAAACTAGTGTTATATTCAAATATGCCTGAGGCCTGCAATAGTTTTCTGATACTAAGGTGCATAGATAAGAGTAGGGAACATACAGTTCCCATAAGTTGAGCCAATTATTATCTAGTTTATGTAAGAAAAACTGAACACAAGTATACAGGGTGATCCAGAATGAGTGAATCAAATTGCTCTGGGAGGTAGCTTGACCCCAGACAGGGTTATTTAGATAAAGATCTTTCATTGATGCTCCCCTTAGATATTAAAGTGGGTCACTTCCTTTCCTAACACTATTTATGTATTTTCGGTTCCATTTTTACGATTATTTGTTTGTATACAATCATATACTAAAAACTTAAAATGTATCTTGAAACTGTTAGTTGTGTATGTATTAATTTAAGTATGTAAACGCAAAAGTCTCAGGCGCTCGACAAGCGTATTCACAAACATTACTATGAGGTCTCACATGCACGTGGACGCACAGGGTGACATACGAACCAATAACAGAATTCTATTTAACGTTGCGCGTTCGATTTGCTGCTTCACTTAAGCAAGCATCGTTTGTGAATACGGGCGAAAAGTCTTGTTGAAATAACCGAATTTTCAGAATACGCGTCATATCACTCAAATGCCTGGAACATTCTTAACTTAACAATCTATATTCTGCACATTATTTGAATCTGCAATCAATCAAATCATGATATACTTACTTAATTAATTATAAACATAGAAAGTTATTGATTGGCATTCCCAGTCTATTGGTGCTATAGGTAATTAATTTATGTAACTATAAAATTAAACAGAGGTTCTGCGTTTCACAGGGCAGTCGTGCTCCGAAGTGCGTATGTGCGTAACGCAATTATTCTCGTATGAATGCATTCCCCTAATGGCACCAGGAGACAGTATTCCTTCATTGAGTGTGCCCGATGGACTGAACATCCGCTTTTGACCCGATTTCGATTTATTTTAAATCAGTGGAAATGCTAAAGAATAATCGAAAATTTTCGGGCGTCGAATACCATATTGTTCTCCTCATGTTTATTTATATGACATTTAATATCAATTTATATTATGTATTATTTTAATGTGTTCATATTAACTGAGAGATCGTTCTTAATTAAATCAATCAACTAAAATAGTAATTTTATTGTTATCGTTATAGTCGAAGATTTCATCTCCACGTTGTTTGTGGAATCAATTAAAATTATCAAGTCTCATACGTAGCTGTTAATTGACAATTAGTATTAAATTATTAATGGCAAAACTGAGCAGATATTCGCGTTTGTCAAAAAAAGTGTGCATTTATCAACGCAGAGGCGAGATACGGACCAAAATACGATCGCCGTAAACAGTTAAAACCCGCGTCGCGTACCCTGCGCACGCGCCGCCATCGCACGCGCTAACGTTCGCGGCAATCGAACGCACGAGTGTCCGTTGTTTTCAAAATTCGAATTTGAATTTCGAAGTTCGAACGTACTGTTTGAAGTATTTCAAAATATTTTTTTTTTATTTAATTTGAGTGATTTTTCCAGCCTGTCAAGTTTTTTAAACAGTGAATAGTGCAGTGCCTTTGTTTTGGTTTGTGAATAAAAGTTTTTAGTTTACGGTGCAAATCGTCGTGTCCAATCGATTTCACATATCTGTCGTCCGAAATTGAGTTGACAGTTACGTGTCGGGCTTTTGACATGTCCGTCTGTCACGTTGACAGCTCCTCTCGATTGTTATATGAAACTCGTTTACATTACACAAACGCAGTTTGACGTTGTGATTAAACATATTCACGCTTGGTTAATTGATTGGGTAATGGTCGAGTTTTTTTTTCTAACAGAGATTAGAACTCGATCTGGTTGCTCTTGTGTGGTAAACTCGAGATTCCAATCGTTATTTTTATCTTATAACTGGTATATTTAATTATATGAATAAAAGTAGTTAATGGCACTGGCTAAGTATTACATAAATCAGCTGATTTAATCGATTCAGTTTATTTATTACGCGCGACTTGCCGACAATTATCATTAAGTTGAATCTGTAGATTCTGCTTCACGTACTGGTATAGACATAAATTAATGCTACAAATACCTCGATACCTTAAAATTGTAATTAAACGAACATTCCTCTTTTCCCACGTCTACAAATCGGCGCGCCGATCTCAAAAAAATAACCTAATCCCGATTTCTCCCTTTTAACAAATCAACAAATCCCTTTATCCCTTGTCCTCCGTGCCTTTTTATTTCCTCCCTGTCTGGCTTATTTACGTCCGATACGCATTCCAGCTTATTATTGGCTCAATTATTCGTCTGGAATGGATATAGGGTGTGCCATTGTGTCTTAGTAGGTCCTCATTTCTGAAGAAGGCATTGCTGCTTTTAACTTCATAAGATTTTTCAACTGATACAGGTCTACTATTACCCCTTATTAATAAAACTCAAGTACACCCTAGTTAAACTCTGGCTTAAATTGTCATTTAGTATGGAAATGTCATTTTAATCCAGAGTTCATCGTAGGTGAAGCTTTTTATTAACAAGGGGGTTAGTGCTTACTAAATGGAATCAGTCTGTTCATCACTGTCTGTAGGAATAGGTAGGTATAAGGATAAATAAAGAGGCTCACAAAAAAGTGAAAACAACAGATTATGAAAAAATATAAAAATACGATATGGATGGTTGTTTAAAGTTCTCTTTCAAAAAAGAAAAATAAGTTTGCAATTTTCACAAGTTAAATCAGTCTTTCATATATTTTTTCAGTACTTAAAAATTTTACCCAATAAATATTTTTTGTAACTTTTGCGTGAATTTTAAACGTAGGTATTCTTGCAATAATATCACAGTGATCACTGTCCTATATCCGTGCCTTCATAACGGCAAAAAGTCGAGCTATCCCGACTCCCGAGTCCGCTCCGGGAATGTTCCGAATAACTTCGTCTATAAAAGGCATCCCGATTAGTCTGTGGACTGCGGTCTATGTATACGGCGCGCGCGCACTATTTTTGTAGTGCAGGAGACTGCACTATAATACTCGTATTACTAAAATATTTTTAGTAGGTATATTTTGGGAATGCCAATTTTATTTATTGCTTCGTTCGTTTAATTAAGCCAAATAATGTCCACTGCTGGACAAAGGCCCACCCCAAATTAGATTAAGATTGATTTCACACTAATAATTTTAATACATACAGAATAAAAGACATCAACATGCCAAATGTTTGCCCTTGGTTGAGATGAGTTTAAACTTATTACTTACAAAGTAACAAAAAATAAAATTTTAAATGTTCTCTCTCAGATCCAATGATTAATATATTGCATCAAATTAAGATGTGATCTCGATTAACATAATACCTAAAACGGGTTATAATTATGCACAGAAACATATGACTTTGTATGTTACTTAAGAATAAATGAAAGCATTAAATATTAATTATCATTTGCAAAATGTTTAAAGATGACCTTTGGGCGGGAGAATGTTGAATGTCGTATTAGAATACCGGTTCTAAATACTTTTGGATATTTTAGAGTAGATAAAAAACAATTCTACTGGTAGGTGATAAAATTTAATTCGGTTCGCTGAATAAGCATTAGTCGCTTCTTCTTCTATCGTGTAGGTTGTAGCAAAACTCATAAAACTCATTTTATCTTTGCAAGTAGGCTTTTAAAAAACACTTTTTTCAAAAATCTCGTTACTACAACCTTGTGTTTAGAATCAGACCAAAAGAAATGATACATGGAGTAATTGATTTGAATTCATTGATTCTCCAAATTTACTCCTCATTGCTAGTGAAAAGCCTAAAGTGGTTTGGAAAACTTTTATTAGTGGAAAGCAAATACTTTCTTACAACTCTTCGCCCAGCTATTTTCCGCTCATTTCCCTTTCGCGGTGGAAGGCAATTGAAGCGTTTTTCATCACTTTTTCTTACAATAAAGTTGATTCAAGCCTGCATTGCTCTTACCAAACTGTGGAAAATTAGGTACACAATTTATTGTTTCTAGTAATCCCTGGTCGCTTTATACAGCTGTACTTGTACTTTGATATCGATCGATCGATTGAACTCACACTCAGCTTAACAACGCTGTCGCAAGCAACAACTGTCTCATTTCTAATTGTTGATCCAAAATGTAGCATCTGTCTGCTACGTCTCATTCAAAATTTCTTCAATACGTTATGCACACTATCCCCTGCACTCTTCATGTCAGCTAATCCCAAAACGGACTAATGCAACTGATCAGCAACAGCATCGTATCTGGTGCATTTCGCAGATGGTCAGAGCCATCAGAACCATCTTGTTATTGTTAGATCGTTCTTAATGGGATCGTTCGAGAATTTGGAGCAGGCTGATCGATCGGAACGCATTATGAAGTTTTGATGATCGCATCATTATGTGGTTAGTGGGTTTATGAAGCCATGAAATTTTGTGATGGAAAAATGGTACAATTTCATAATATTTTTTGATGATTTTAATGGCTGGATAAAGGTTTTACGAGTATGCCATAACTTTGTTATTAGTCACTTACCATTAGAAGACATGCTAGTAAGAAGTATTAGTGTTTCTGAGATTATAGTCAGACATAGATTTAGCTTTCTTTTATGATTCTTAGCTAAGAAGCCTCTGATTGATTCAAAAATATCAACCAATCACATCATAGGAAATAATATTACAAAAATCTTCCGATTTCCCTTTATTGGTAGTGTTTACAAAAAAAAAAAATATCAAACAAATAAATGCATTCCATAGCTATAGCTCCTTGTAGAATATTTATTTATTCTTCTATCTTCTATTTGCTCAAACGTCTAAAATGTCAGCGTATCGCAATGTTTATCTAAGTTTCACTGCAGTCTGCCCACGCGCATCTGGCGACTTGTCAATTGGCTTCGGACTTCCGAGTGCAACCGTTAGCATGTATTGTGATTGGTGAACTCTGTATTGTGTTTATTATGTTCATAGTATGACTTTACTAGGAGCAACAAAAGGAATATTGCTTTAAAGGTAATAAACAGTAATATGTTAATAAGGTCAGTTTCAAATCAGTCACTATGACCTAAATCAGTAGAAGATGCATCATCTAAGGCTTTATTCAATCTGTAGCTTAGATTCGAATTTTTATTGGTCAAGTTTCATAATTGGACCATCAAATGTATCTATGCTTGAGTATAGATCCTTCAGAATCAATTCATAATAATATTTGAGGACATTGTTGAGCTCTACTTGACAGAGTTATTTAATCGCGACTGTATACAATAAAAGCTAGTGACTATGAAAATGTTGTCTAATTCACAATTCACTTCATAATTTATTCACTCCAAACGTTACTTAGCTTCTTTTATGTTTACGATTATTACGACCTCTTAAACTAGTTTTATGTTACGACTTCTGGGCTACTCGGGGACCGGAGCTGGTGACATTTCGTAAACATAGTGATGCAAATCGTTGGTTGTAGATAGATTACTGTTATTACGAAGTTTATTTTTCTAATTTACACGCGGGTTTAACGCTACTTCAAAAATATTGCGTTAGTTGTAACCGTCTTGTCTCAAGAAAACTCACTTTGGAAAGAAACTGAATTCAGAAGCCGATTTCTTTAGTCATACCTCAATTGTAAAATCCTAACGAATACAGAATAGAATACAATGCAATTAATACAGACTGTCTCATTGAAATTCAGACAAGATAAGTATGATTGGTGATTGGAAACCAATAGGTGTTAGTAGCATCATATTGTCTATAGAATGAAATGTTAATGATATGAAAGCTATTTCTTACGATAAAGAACATTTTTATATCGATCATATAGCGTGACTTACTAGAGAGTTTTATGTCCATACCAACAGTGAAATTATGCGGGCTGAAAATTATGAATACTTACAGAATAAATGGCGTAGATTTTACACGTTTCATGTATATTAATGAAAACTGGGGAAATCGAGCGCTGAGAGCGGATCATTGTGCAGTAGATCGGCCATGAATTATAGGAGTTGGCATATATCATAGATTTACTATAATTAACACTTAACTAACTTGTATTTTATGCTACAGTGATTGTTCTATACAGGGTGTTAGGTAAATGGGTATATGAGCCGACACTAGCCCATGTTAACATGGTCATATAAATGGTATGATGAAGTCAGAAAATTGATATCTTCATTTTAATTATTTTAATTTTCATACAAAACGGATTTTATAAAATTTATTATGTATGAAAATTAAAAAAATTAAATGAAGATATCAATTTTCTGACTTCACCATACCATTTATATGCCCTTGTTAACATGGGCTAGTGTCGGCTCATATACCCATTTACCTAACACCCTGTATACCTACTATACAGACAGAAGTATTTATCTTGGTATGGTAAGGGATGAGTGGATAGATGTTGCATTGCGTTTGGGAATTGTTAGGATGGTTTTTGACCTACTTTGTGAGCTTATAAATGATTTTGAGTGATAGCAAACCCTTCAGCTTTGGTAATGGTAAACAGAAGCATTACAGATATACAACTTATTTTACTTATTATGCTTTCGTTAATCTTTTTTTTTAAACTAAAACTCAAGATACTTTTCTTCGAATAGATAATAATTCACGGATCTCT